GGGGGGGAGCGATGGGAGCAGCCGGGCAGGCTGGGAGGTCTCGGCTGACGGCTGCTGCTCTTCCCCTGCCAGCCCAAGATCGTGGAGGCCCTGCTGGGCTACGAGATGGTGCAGGTGGCCTGTGGCGCGTCTCACGTCCTGGCGGTTTCCAATGAACGGGAAGTGTTTGCCTGGGGCAGGGGGGATAATGGTAAGAGATGTCTGCCTTGCCAAGCAGGGCTTGTGCCTTCCATCTCCTCTTCCCACTCCCCTCGCTGGCTCTGCTTGCCTGCAGCCCTCTCCAGATGTGGTGGGTATGGAAGAGCTGCAGCTGCTTCACTGCCTCCCAGGCCCCCGTGCTTTGCCTTTCTCCACTTTTTGTGGCCACAGGTCCCAGGCTGGGCTCTGGCAGCAGCTCTGTCAGTGCCATTGCTCAGTTGGTGTGTTGCCATCAGCACTGACCTGCTCCGTCCCTCCTGCCAGGTCGGCTGGGGCTGGGTACTCTGGAGTGCCACAACTGCCCCCAGCAGGTCCCAGTCCCTCTGGAGCACGAGGCTCACAGGGTCATCTGCGGCATCGATTCCTCCATGGTTCTCACTGTGAAGAACCAGATTCTTGCTTGCGGGAGCAACAGGTGAGGAGGGATGAGGGTCTGTGCTCCAGAGCTCGCCTATAGCCTCCTGGGCCTGTCCATCTTTGTCCAGCCCAGGAGCAGGGAGCAAGGAACTCTAGAAGACATCTCTGTGTGCTCCTGCTCCCCAGCATCTCACTGCTGGTGGTGCAGTTATGCTGGAGCAGGATTTGTCTGCAGAGTATCTGCTCCAGGCTGCATTCAGCCAGCTCTGAGCTCTGCCTTTCCCCCTGCAGGTGTAACAAGCTGGGCCTCGACCGGATCAGCTCAGCAGAGGAGCCTTCCCCAGAGGACCAGGTGGAAGAGGCCACCGTGTTCACGTGTGCCCAGTCGTCCCCCTTGAACCAAGAGCCAATCGTGTGCGCCGACATCGGCACAGCACACTCGGCTGCAGTCACAGGTGAGGGGGTGCCCAGAGCCCTCAGGAGGACCTGCACCTTCATTGTCCTCCTACCTCCATTTCCCATGGGTAGAGATGCTCAAGAGCCCAATGCTGGAGCTCCGTGGAGCAGGATGTCCAGCATAGTAGAGAGCAATGAGGCTCAGAGGCTTCAGTGCATCCTCGGGTGACAGCCAGTTGTTTCTTTTCTCTCTGTTACCAGCTTCTGGCCAGTGTTACACCTTTGGGAGCAACCAGCATGGGCAGTTGGGCACCAACTCCTGCCGCAACAGCCGTGTACCCCACCTGGTTGTGGGGCTCCAGGCCATGAAGGTCAGCGTGGTGGCTTGTGGGGATGCCTTCACTGTGGCCATCACAGCAGGTGAGGCTCAAACCCCTTGGGCTGCAGCAAGCCCTGCCTTCCCTGTGCCTGCACTCCATGCTGTGGCCAAGGCAGGCCTTGGAGATAGCCCAGGGTGGTAGCGGGGAGCTGGGAGGCTGATTGCTGGTCAGCTCAGCCTGCAGCAAGGTGTCCATGTCCCTCTGCAGATGGTGAGGTGTGCACCTGGGGGAAAGGAGCCAGGGGACGCCTGGGCAGGAAGGACGAGGAAACGGGAACACCGAGGCCAGTGCAGCTGGAGGAGACACATCCATACGTGGTGACCTCTGTAGCCTGCTGCCACGGGAACACACTGCTGGCTGTAAAGCGTGAGTAAAGGCTTTGTTACTGGGGTTGCTGCAGGAGGGCCCAGCCAGCCACACCGGACCAGACGGAGGAACCCTGGCATGTAAGCTCTGTGTTATTCTAGTCCCTCTAGAGCTATGAACAGAACTAACTTAGAGCCCCTAAAAACTCCCCTTCTGCTATGCAGTACCATGACACTGCTGCTTCCTCAGGGCTGGAGGGGCAGTGGGCTGGCAGAGGTGGTCTCCTGCACCCCTGGACAGGTGGGCTGGCCAGCCTGTGGCCAGCAGGGAGCTGGTGTGCTGGCAGAGCACCAGGTATCCAAAAAAAGAGCAGCTCTCTAATTGATGCTGCTGAAATAGAAGCTGAGATTTGAGGCGTCATTTTGGCTGCTGACTTTCCATTGTGGTTTGGAAAAGATAGTGCTGGTTTTGTGGTTCTTCTCTGCTGGGGCCAAAGGCAGCATCATTGCACAGTTAAAACGTGCCCGTGGTGTGACCTGCCCTTCCATTGCCTGGATGTACGATGGGAGCCTGGCCCAGAGTGCTGGAGGGGCCTTTCTTCCTCCTCTGCTGGGCTGATCATGGCCTCAGCTCTGGGCTGAGGGATTCTAGCCCCAGCCCACTTCAAGGAGGCTAATTACAGCCCAGAGGGGAGGAGGCCAGGCTGACTGCCCCAGCTCCTGCTCTCATGTGATGTGTGCTGCCACGTGAAGGGGACGGGAATGGCCGAGTCCCTGGGCTCGGGAACAAGTAGGGCATTTGTCATGGGAGTCAAAGGGTTTTGTTTCTGCAGGAAGGCTGCAGGCTGCTCCCCCTTCCGCTGCCTGTCACCCTGTGCTCCATGGCAGCTGGGCCGTGGGCTCCCAGCTGCAGCACCACAAGAGAGGGACCGAGCATGTATCCCAGAGCTATCCCCATGCACTATCCCGTCCGAAACCTCCACCCTCCTTCCCAGTGCTGGAAGTACAACCTCCAGCAGCTGTGGTGTCAGGACAGCAGCCTGGCCTGCTCTGGTGTCCCTCAGCAGCTGGGGTGCAAAAGCATTGAGAGCTTTGTAAAAAGCTGAGCTCTGACTTTGGGCTTTCACACAGCTCCAGCCTGCCTGGAAACCTCTCCAGAAGGAACACGAGAGCTGGTGACACGTTTGATGTTGCTGCCGTCAGCTCAGGCTGTGATCTGGCCTGGAGGGGGTGCTGGCAGCAGCGAGCACTGCTCCACCTTTGGGGTGGCAGTTCTGCACTGCTCTGTGGTTTCCTTCAGTCAGGCCAGCCCCGTTTTTAACTGGTTTGGGTTTCTGCCCACTTTATTGCAAGGCCATTGTGCCCTTCTCTCAATCCCACTGCAAACACAGGAATAACTGGGAGAAGCCAGGTGTGCTGGAGAGGGGGAGGAGGAAGGCACAAGCCTCACAGACTGCATTTCCTCCTGCCAGGGCTCTGTGCTGGGCACTGCCTCCTCCTTGTGCCACTACTTGGCAGCTTCCTGGGAGAGCAGGACAGGGATTGCAGTGCCCATCTGTTGGGTATCAGGCCTGCATGGGGCAGGGTGTTGTTGCTCCCTGTAGCTTTATTGAGATGGTGGCTTAGGGCTTATTCTGGGTCCTTGCCCTTTGTGTTTCAGCTGCTGTAGAAGAGTCACCTTCCCAGTGAGAGCTGAGAGGGGCCGAATCCAGCCTCATCGTATAGATACTGGATGTCCCCCCACCAGCCCAGCCTGCCTGTCCTCTCACTGCCTGGCTCAGACCTGTGTTCCTGGACTCTAGAGCTTTCTAGTTCCAAAGGCAGCAGCCTGGAAGCAGGGAGCTGATAACGATGGTTCCCATGGAACTGGAGCTGGTCTCACTGAATCAACGAGGGTCAGGGTGAACTTCCAGTGTCCTGAAGCTGCTGCCCTGGATGTGCCATGGGGCAGACATCCCCAGCACTGCCTTTGGGGGGGTCTCTCTGAGGCTCTGCCCCTCCCTGCTGGAAGTGCCTGTGTAGGAGGGTGAGGAGCACCATGGTTGTTTTCCCCTGTGTCTCTGGTTACAAAGCCCAGGCTGACAGCCGGGTGTCTGAGCGAGCTGTCAGCTCTGCAGCAGTGTCTGGAGTCAGGGCCCCAGGCGCTCTGCTGGGTGACTAAGTGCAAACCCCTTTTCTAATTAGAGAAGTCTGCCCTTTCCCATCCCCCCCTTAAAACGTTTCACCCCTTTGTTGAGCTGTTCATCACTCCTTCCAGGGTCCTGCCCTGCATGGCTGGCCGAACCCGCCGGGGGCAGCCTCTCGGTGCCACGCAGCCCGGCTCCCTCTCCCAAAATGCTGCCTGGAGCTTTGCAATTACAGCCTCCCCCGCCCCCAGGAGCTCACCGGAGGATCCTCCGGCTGACATTTGTCCTCAGGCCCCTAAATCCTGCTGCTGACCAGCTCACTGGCTCCCAGCTGAGCTAGCGGAAGGCAGCAAAACACAACAAGTGACTGTCAGTAATTGAAGTTTTTTAACCCAGATCTCTCCAGGGAGATGATGAGTTTTCACCAGGGATCCTTCTGCAGGCAGGAGGGGCAGATCACCATGTCACAGACAGGAGTTAGGGTTTTTATCTCCAGAAGGGTCGTTTCAATATTTTTTTTCCTTCTCTTTTTTTTAACTTGCATCTGCCCTGGGCCATTTTTTGATGAGCTTCTGTCTCTGATCTGTCTGACATTGCAAATGCTCTTGCCTTTCACATCCATCTTTGTGCTGTTGCCAATCTGTTGTGTATAAAGTCAGTGCTTTCATAAGCTGGCTGAGATGAAATCTCTCTAATTATTTTTGTGATTCTTTCCTGTTCTCAATGAGGGGAACCTCGCTGGGCTCTGGTAGTAGCCAACTGATCCCTCTGTCATGGGAAAGGTAATGAATTTCTGCAGGTCTCCTGCTTTTTCTTCCCTCTCCTCCCAGGCTCCAGCTGGGGAGGGGAGCAGGTCCAGCCGGGAGAGGCGTGTGCAGCCCTGACTGCAGACGCTGCCTCCCTCTTCGGCTCCTGCCAGGGTGGGTACATGGGTTTTTCCCTGCCGTTTTTTTGTTTCTTGTGGAGCTGCCTTTTCAGGCGGTTACACCCTGCAATCCCAGGAAGTTGACTTGAATTCAAAGGCTCTGCCAGTCCCCTTGGCACTCGCCTTGTGCTGCCGGTTACAGGGACGTCTCTGCCAGCCTGGGGTTGGTGGAGGGGAAGGTATTTTTTGCTCCCAGACCAACCTGGGCACCAGAGTAATTGCAGGGCTGGGTTAAACTGCCTCGAAGCCCATCTGGGCCACTGAGCTGGCAGCAGCACCAGCTCCTACAGCAACAGATTTCTCTTAGCTGTGTTGTGCTCAGCTCTTGGGGCTCTGCTCACCCTAACCACTTCCAAACACATCCCAGAAGAAGGGGCTGGAGCTCCTGCTGCAGCCTCACCAGGGCTGAGGGTTTGCTGGGACTGCAGGCAGGCAGGACAGAGTCTATGCCACCTTTTGTCTTGTCAGTTGTGGCACCAAAATGTCACTGCTCCAGGGGACGTGTAGTCTGGAGAGTCAGGCTTTTCCTGCTCCAGCTGGGCAGTCCAATCCAGGGCTGAGCCCCTTGGGCAGCCCTCACTGTTCCCCCTGATGTGCTGGCATTGGGTGGGTTGTTTTATGGCTTAATGATGCCCAGCAGTGCTGGGGCTGGAGGTGTCACCGAGTGTTGAATATTGGGACCCTTTGCTCCAGGCAGGGAGAACCATTTTGGCCCAGTGTGCTTTGTGCTGGGGGCTCACACCGAGGGCTGGAGCTCTTGGGGTTTCACAGCCTGTGCTCTCTCTGCAAGGAGTTCAGCTGTGAAGCCCAGTGAGATGATTTGAATAATTTAATACCAGGCTGTGACCAAGCCTGGCGAAAGGGTAAAGGAAACAAAGAGGCCCCCAGCCCCGAGCAACAATAGCTCTTGAAACGACAAGCTGGAGCATGTCGGTGCTGCCGGAGGCAGAGAGCAGCCCGGGCAAATAGGCCAGTTGCATTCCTCACGTCTGCTGCTTTGTTTCCCTGCAGAAGCTGCCGGTGAAAACTGCAGGTCTCAGGGCTTCTCCCTTTATCCTTGTTTTGTTCCCGGGTCGTGCGGAGCTGGTGGTGGATCAGCCTGATCCTGGTGGCTCTTCCTGCTAGGAAGGAATCGGGTAGGGGAGGTGATGTGGGATGAGGCTGCCTGTGCATCCCAGCCGGTGAGGGCCCCCTGTGGTCATTGTCACCCAAGGAAAGCCTGTCCCCATTTCCATGCTTGATAAGGTCCTGTGGACCTGGGGCCATTGCTGTTAGCAGGAAACAACACAAATGCCTGCTGACCCTGCAGCTGATTTGATTTAAATCCCAGCACCTCTGTCGTGGCTCTATCCCTGTTCCCACGAGGCTTGGCAGAAGGTGCAGCTGCCTCTGTCCAGCCTGGGCACAAGTCCCCAGGGAGAGGACTCTCCTGCTCCTTCCCCTGGAGCAAAACACTCTGCCTTAGAAGCTGGAGCGTTTGTTTTCTGTCCCTCTAAGTTAAACAGGCAGAGGGATGGAGCAGAGATGCTGAGCAGGGGGAACATGGCAGGTTTCCCCCAGCCCAGGTGGGTTCAAGGACCATCATGGGGGGACAGAGAACATATCACCTCCACAAAGGGAACTGCCCTGCCCGGGGGTCGAGTGTCGCCTTTGTGTGAGGCAAACGCCTGGCTGTGATGTGGAGTGTGGGGAGGGTGTTCGTTAGGGAGAGAGGAAAAGGGAGGGAGCTTTGTTTGCAGGGTCTGACACCTCCCAGCCGTCCTGCCGGCACAGCCAGCACCTTCTGATGGCTTTGTCAGCTCCCGGCTAATTAGCTGAGATGCTCTTTAGTGAGGTTAGGAAAGAAAAATCTTGAAAACATCAAAGAGAAGCAGTGAATTGTGATAAAACTGGGCTGTGTTTCATGCCTGTCAGTGCAGACCAGGCTTTCCAGGCTTGCAGGAGTGCTGTGTCCTGTGTCTTCTGCAGAGGAGGCTTGGGGAGTCCCCTCACCCACGGGATGCTGAGGGTCTGTCCTGTTGGCTCAAACCTGGTCCCATAAGGGTGTCCAGGGATGTTTTTTTTGGCTGGGCAAGGTGTTGATGTGGCTGGCTGGGGCAGCTGGGAGGTGAGCCTGGCTCCAGGGCGTGCTCTGACTTAGTGGCAGAACCAGACAGACATGGGGCTGTAGATCCTGCCCTGGGGGGTCATGGCTCTGATCAAACCCGCCCAGGAGCATCACAACCCCAGGCTGTCACCCCGGGACAGCTCAGAGGTGTCCAGTGCACCCTGCTGCTCTCTCTACAGTTGGTCACTGTTTATGTTGGGTTTCCAAGCTCTCTGGGAGCTGGTTAAATTTTACCTTGCTGCTCTCCACCATCCGAGCAGGCTGCCAGCTTAGCCATGTCCCTCAGAGGGGACCCCAGGGTGGCTGTTCATGCTCGATGTACACCAGTACAAGCTTCCCCACTTTTTGGGTGGTGGGAGCTAAAGCCCTGTTGCAGCTCAGGCCATGGCAGGGTAACCTGTCACCCCTTAGGGTAACCCCAGAAATCAGCCACCCATCCCCTTCTTGGCAGCAAGAGCAGGCAGGCTCCCTGCCTCCCCCCTCCCCAGCCTGCCAGAGGGTTTTATTTTAAGCAGAACCTCTCGGCAAGAAGGGTAACGTGAGCTCCTTGAGTGACAAGTGATAGAGCTTGACTTGCTTAGCGTGTCCCCCAGGAATCCCTCTCCTCTGCCATTTGCTAATTGAAAACTGCCAACATTTGGGGCTGGAGCAACTGCCGCCCTGGCTGGGGCGTTGGTGGGACTAACACATGCTCACAGCCTGTCAGCTGCTTGTCTCCATCTCTAGGGAAAGGGGCAAATACTCCCATATGCTGCTCTGGTTTCTGCAAGAGTGACGTGGGGGCTGGAGCCAGACAGGTTTTTCTTTTATTCTCCTTCCTCCCAAGTCCTTGCACGGAGGTTGGAAATCACAGGCCAGAGGGTTTGCTGTTGGCTGCAGCCTCGGGGGGTGAGCTCTGAGCAAGATGAAGCCACGGGAGCGTGTAATTCCCCCTGTCCCTGTGGCATGGGGGGGCTTGGGCAGCCCCTTTGTGTCCTGCTCTGTCACCGGGGTACCAAGCCCCCCCAGAGGGCTGGTGTGATGTTCTCCAAGCCCCCAGGGATGGCTGTGCCCAAGGTGATGCTCCCCAGACCCCTGGGGGTTGCTGTCTGTCCCTGGTGCAGTGGGTACCAAAGCCCCCTGGAGTGGCTGCCCCCACTATGATGCCCCCTAAACCCTCGGAAGTGACTTTCCCCGCGGTCCTAAACCCCCTCTGAGTGGTTGTGCCCCATAGGATGCTCCCCAACCCCCCGTGATAGCTGTCCCTGGGGTCCCAAACCTCTCCGGTATGACTGTCCTCGGCGGTGGGTACCAAACCGCCCCCGAGGGGCCATCCCCGAGCCCCCCCCCGGTGCGAGGA